AAAACCCCAAAACCCCAAAACCCCAAAACCCCAAAACCCCAAAACCCCGGAACATAAGAATAGATTGTTGCGAGCATAACAAATTAGGTTAAGGGAAAAGTAGTTAATCTATTCTATCATTAATACGTCTACATTTATATTTTTGCAAGCATGCATATTCTGACTTGCCATCATTATACACAGGCTACTCACAACTCGAGTTGACTGCCTTCAGTCAGCATGCTGGACATCTCCATGATGTCATCAAAGTTCTTCTTCTTGATGGTCTGATCATGATACCTCATCTTGAAGTACCAAGCATATTTAACTCTGAACATCTCTAGTATATCCTTCTTCTCCATCATATTGCACTTGATTGTATTGCTAATGTCACCTTTTCTCATTCTTCTAAAGACACCCTCTGAGTTAGCCATTTTTTCTATGAGTTGAAGGACCTTTTCGATTGGAGTGTTTTCATTACATTCATCCTCATCTAGGTTCATTTCATTACCAGAAAAAGCATTTCCACCTTCGCAATCATCATCTTATACATTATCCTAGCCTTTCCTACTATTGTGCTGGCTTGATTCATCATAAAGTGCTATCAATGCCAATGATTCTACGAAGAGATGCTCATCAATATACTCATTCTACACTACTCTCCCTGGAGATCCTATTCTGGACATTGCACTCATTCTAGATGTCATATTATTCATTGATTTCATAGTCGATTGCTTGGGTAAGGCTGAACCACCACTGCAATTTCCCAGCACCTCATTCATAAAGCTGAGAGAGTGATATATCCTGTAAAGCGCAGCCTTGGTAGCATGACTTGGAAAGATATCGTAGTCAGAGCAGAAGTTTATGTACTGCTGAAAGTTCATGTATCCCTTCGAGTCAGCATACACTCTGTAGACATCAATCATTGCTTTATGCAGAAGAGTCAGCATATTAATCATGTCTTGGTTGTCTAGCTTCACAAGCAATTTCGAGATGTTTTAATTGTGAACGCATCTCTTGTCGTTTATTAGCTTCAGCTATGGCAATAAAATGTTCTTTAGCAGCTCAATATAGCATGCTTATCCTATCAACGAAGGATAAACTTTTATTGAAACTAGCTCCAGTACTTTCCTGAATTGCTAGAAATCTACTCTGCCGCCATTGCTGCCGTTTCTATCAATCAAGTGACTCTGCTTGTCAAATGTAGCTGTTTTAGATATCTTGCTTATATCATTAACATTATTAGTGACTCTTGTCCTATTCATTTGAGACTGGAACTGCAGGAACCCAGAGAGTTAACTTTGATCCTGACTGCCATTATAGGTCATACAGGAAGCAAATTAGTCAAATGTGCTGACTGGAGCAAAGGACTTAGCACAAACTTAAGCAAATATAAGATCCATTTCTTGAGTAGAAATTTACTTAGCACCCTCGCTATTTCGAGGCAATCTTGACTAACCCTTTAAAAGTCCCACCTCTTTAAAAAGCTTGAATAACTTGCTAGATTTCAAGTATTTAGTATTCATAGGTTCTCCAAAGGAGCAGTAGATTTCGAACAGCTTCTTCAGTTCATCCTCAGAGTTTAGAAGGAACTCATCTCGATCGTTATCGAAGCAATTCTCTGATTTTTATTCCAAGAAATTTTTTACAAATAAGTGCTAGTCAACTATCCTAGAAAGCATTGCTTCCTTTGTGACAAATGCCATTTCTTCTGGATTGGTGAATACCAAATCTTCGACTCCTTCAGCCTTTAGAATCTGGCACAATAGGTCCTTTGAGGGTAAGAATGTGAGAGTCTCTGTGTAAGTGCGATTGATTTTGTTAAGAAACTTCCTAAAGCCTCCTGAGTTTTCTAATTTACGCAAGAAATACAGTAACTTCTTAATCAGATTGTAGTCTTGAGGCTTTTCTTAAGAATGATTGAAATAAATGACACTAAGTCTATAGATAAACACTATAAAATGGCCTAGAGTGAACACCTTTCCTAAATTATGACTATTGGACACGATGTTCTTTGTCTCAGGGTTGTTTGAAAGTTCGCTGATAGATGTGGAATTTGAGACTGAGTACCAAATTAAGAAACTTGCTTTTTGGTGCACAAGATATGGAGATATTTCAAACTCACGGGCAAAATTCATTACAGATCGCAAAGATAACTTTTTGAGATCGTTTAGTTTGCCTTTGGACTGATTGATCTCTTACTCAAAGTACTATTGGTATAGTTATTTTATCAATGGTAAAATATCGGTGAATATCACTTATGTGTCTTCATTGTAGACAATTAATCTGAGTGTGAGTTCTGATACTGTATAAAGTGAGTATTGAAATTCATCACTCTGCTTCTCAACTGCTGTTTCTATGCGTTTTAGCAAAGGCAGAATATTTCTCTTAAGAAGTTCTTTGAGAGCAGATTTCGGATGCTTCTTAAAAAGGTCTTCATATTTGATTTCAGATATTCTTAGAATAGCATTAAGAAACTGCTCAAAGGTAATGTGCTTAATCATGTTCGTTGTGGCATTGCACTCCTTAGAGATGATAATACTTACTGTATTTTGGTTAACTTATTTATCATCAAAGATTGATGAGTCTCTCATTACTTTCAAGAAGTTAGTGTAGGTAATGAAGACCTCCCCACTATCCATTGAGTAATCACAATAATTAAGATATAACTGCTTGAGTCTGCTTTTGATAGCTTCATTCCTTTCTTTTTTCTCCTCCAAACTGGTTTTGTTTAAACCTCCATTCCCATTCGAAGCTAATGATTTCACAGACTGAGCACTCTGGTTATGAACTAGCTATTTTCTTGCACTATCTTAGGCAGTTGACGACATTTGCTTTTTTATGTTCTTCTTTCTGTTTGATAGATCAATTTACCCACTTATTGCTTCACCATCCACTTTATCAATATTGTCTTACGAGTCTCTTGAAAAATTTCCCTTTGTAAAGCTTTGAGTATCGTGAGTGGCAGAGGCTTTGCTCTCTTGATCCCAAGACTCAGGAATACTGTTCAAAGGTGCTGTATTATAAAGCTAATCAAATTTCTTCTGAATATGAGTGTTTGAAGATTAAGAATTGGTGGAGTAGGCATTTTGGGTTTTTGCGGCATATTCATGATCCAAAATCTCTACTTATTTTTAGCTCCTCAACATATTATTTGTTTTTTCTTTCATGACATTACTGCTATCAACTTATGCGCTATAGTCTTGGATGTTTAAAGTTTTTTGCTGATAATTTACTGGAAGGTTTTACTCTCCAGCCATTCTAATGAAGTCTCTATACTGCTGTTTCTTTTCACTCTAAGGACTTCTCTAGGCACTGCTTAGATTTTAGGAGTTTTGGAGCCTATTTTCTTGGTAGAACCTTTAAGCCATCGAAACAGACTGGTATGCTTATTTGCTGACACTACTTTACTGATTAGGGGTAGCTTAAATAAGATCGTTTTGCAATAGATTATTTGTAAACTACTTCATTAAACTTGTTTAACAGTAAAATAAAAATTAATTGTTAAAATTTACAATACTTTTACTATTCATCATCAATCAAACATAGATACATTCAATCAACTTTTCACTTTCAATTATATATAACCGATGACATCGCAATTTTAAAACCCACAAAATTTATAAAATTGTCGTAATATCATCATGGTTCCCTTTTCAACATAAATTTGGTTCATTCAAGCTTAGACTAATGAATAGTCATCATTATCTCAGATTTTAATAATTATAATTAATTAGCCTTATTCTCTTTTACTTCCTTAGATTATTTTCAATAGCTTCCTACATTGATCACATTGATGCTTCCTTCAACATTTTCTTCCAGTTTTTCTAATTATTGCCTCCTTGCGTTTAGCGTTATACCATTGATGAAACTGCCATTTAAACTCTAGCCTTGTGAAGTAACCGAAGGTGATCCTAGCTTATTCTTGAATTCAAGATTAGGGAAAATCATCCTGCTATACAAATCAGGGTTGAATCTGCCAAGCCTCTTTTCATCAACATACTCTTACTTCTTCCTCAAGAGGAACAATTCAACTTCTCTTTGATTATTCAAATCTATCTCTATTTAATCTTGTTAGGAAGGTACTACAGTTTCTTAACGATTCTTTAGTTGATAGTCAATTGTGTCCTTACTAAGTAATTCGTGATCTGAGGCGTTGTTTTACTAGCTTTTACCATAATTAAGAATATGATTATCAGAATTCCTCGAAAATACTCTAGACTAATCTTGAGTTATAATAGTTTAAGTCTCTCTTCGAGTCTTCAAAGTTTAGTGTATAAGTGGAGAGTCTGTTTCAACAATGGGTATATCTGGTAAATCATCATAAGAATTAGTATTATTGTGTAGGGAATTATTAACTAATAACCTCTGCATTTTATTTTTATCTATTTCATTGACTAAGTAAGTTCCAAGATGATTGCTTACTTCACTTTAAGGTTTAGCATTACTGCTTTGATGAGTTCCAAATTTCTTTTTCCTCAGAGCAGGACTTAGCGGCTAAGTCAATGCAAAATCTCTATTAATAATTAAAAGTAACCTCTGCTTGTCTTCTTCTGACTTATACATATTTATCATGTCTTTGGGGGTTTTACCTTCAGTGTTAACAAAATCTAAAGATTTTCCATTTTCTATGTTCTAGACTAGTAGTCTTAAAGCTTTGGGGTTGTTAAATATAACTGCAAAATGCAGAGGGGTATTCATGCCGTAGAGAGTTCTAGACTCAGAATTTTGATTATCAGAGCAATTTCGCAGCAGGTATTACAGCTTTTCAAAAGCTGTGTGAGTTTTTGTGGCAGCACAATCCCATATGTTTTAGAATAGGTTTACATATTTTTTCTAAGTGTCCATATTTTCTGGTTTTTGGTTGCGATAATTGCATTCATTCCTTAAAATCTAGCCCTCAACATCTGAAAATAGTAAATACTTTATCATCTCAGAATTTTGATTGATTACTGCATAATGCAGACAGTTTTGAAGCTGAGAACAATATACGTATAAGTTTGCTCCTTCTTTTACCAGGAACTTTACAATTTCTAAGTTGTTATTCTTGGCTGCTATGAGTAGTGGGGTCATATTTTAATTATCAGTAAAGTCGAATATGTCCCTCAAACTCTTACAAGTTTTAAGTTACTGAGTAATAGTATCATTAAGCTTTTTATTTTTCATAGCCAACAATTGTGATTGTATTATCTCATTTCTTTTTTTTACTATGTTAGTGAGATACTCAAATATCATTACATTCCCTTATTTAGCAGCTTCATGAAAGGGAGTAAAGCCATCGACCATATTGCTCTTATCAATACATAGCAGTGCATCAAGCTGATAGCTAGTATTGTTTCTTAGTGTACTATTTAATTGCTCACCAACTTAAACAGCACTCTAATTCATTTAAGAGTAGGTATTCATCATGTAGCTCTTATTGACTGTTAGATTATTTAGTGTAACGTGCAATTTAGAAAGATCTTAATTGAAATAAGGATCTCCTAAGCTTTCATAGCTAGTATACTCTCCCTCCAAGAGATACGAAATGAATTCTATTCTCTCCATCCTGATTGCATAGTGCAAAGCATTGTTGCCATCAAGATCCTAAAAAGATGGCATGATCCCTCTGCTTAAAAGGTATTGAAATTTCTGCCTGTCCTCAACTCTGATCATATATGTTAAAGCGTTATCTGCATATATCCCATAGATAAATTGACATAACTGAGTGTTAGATAATGAAGCTAAAGCTTCTATAGAACTTAACTCTAAGTTTTTTTGTCTTTAGAAAAGATTAATAAATATATAAATTTACATTTTTTGCTTTGAGCCAGAGTCGAGAATATTATTGCTGATAGAAGTGTTTTGAGTAGTATTTTATTTCTTTATATTTGATATTGAAGTCTTTGATTACTTTGGGTCTTCCATATTTTTATAACTTTGCTTGTTTAATAACTCATGAATTTCTCTATCTCTTGTTGTATCAATGCATCTCTATATCGAAATTGTTATTAAATTCAAGATTTTTACTTTTGACTTTTTATCGGCAATTTGAGTATTTGCTCCAGCCTGAAGCATTAGCTAGAGTAATTAGATATTTCTGTTTTTGCATACATAATGCATAGCAGTTTTACCATATTTGTCCTAGATATCAATAAATGGTATTGTGCTGAAGTCTTTCAAATCCTGAGTCTTCTATGAGTTAATATGATCGAAAAATATCGATTCCTATCTTGAATTAGGCTTTTTTAGCTAATTAACCTCGTCTAATAAATCAGGTCGAGTGGACTGTTGAACTCTTAATTTTAGTCCTTAAATATTAGGAGTTTGATAAATAGATCCAACTTTATTTGAATTAGATAATGACTAAGTCATTGAAGTGTTGTTATCCTACTCCTCCTCTATCACACTTTATATCTTTAGTAATTTGGAAGAGGGGTCATTTCTAACATATTAATGCTGGCTCCTATTCCTTTACAATCCTAGATTACCTTTAATCCTATTTCCTATTGAATTAGGGTCAACAGTCTGTGATCTTTGTAGCTTTTAATAGTTGATGATCATTTCAATTATGTTCTTTTCACAATTCAAAATACAAGCATAGTGCAAGATAGTCCTACCATTGTTATCTCTCATCATAGTATCGGCTCCATTTCGCATGAGAATTTCACACATTTCATAGTTTTTCTGGCAAATGGCAAAGAACATAAGTGATCTACCATTGTGGTCTTTCTGGTCAATCATTATCCTGCGTTACAAAAGTGACATAACACCCTCAATCTCTTTTATGAGTGCTGGTACATCTTTTTTTATGATATGTTTTAAAGGTATATTTCTAAGAGTTTCCTGATTTTCTTTCTCAGTTTGCATCACAGAGTATGATTATGAATTGAAATCGGGGATATCCTCTAAATCAGAGTCTGAATAGGCACGATCCATTTAGGCATCAAATAGATATTTTTATTTAAGATAGGCTTAGTCTGTGGCTTTGACTCTTGAAATTATACTGGTTGACTTAAAATGATTAGACCTAGCGAAAGACAATCTGGATTCACTACTTGGGGATTATTTAGAGTCTTGGTAAATAAGATTATTTGTTTAATCTGAAGTCTGATTTTAATTAGTTGAACTTGTATATCTATTAAGTAAATCTGTTGAACAGACTGTAGTCATGTATTCATCTTCATGTGTGCTGCTTGCTTACTAAAGACTAAAATGTTTTCTCCCTTTCGCTCTTTATTGCTATTAAGACTACACAATATGAGCTGGTAACTTAGCAAGCTCCAACTCCATCTTTGGCACATCTCCAGCAGTCTAGGGTGGAGCTTTTTAATTTTGATAGTTTTAATGAGGAATGACTGTGTATAGATGATCAATATTAGGCTATTTTGTATGTCTTTTGAGTTATTCCATGTATTCCTTCTTAACTCGATCCATATCTTTCTAATCTGTTTTAGGCCTGACACTAGCATATATGTTCAACTTAGCATTAATTTTAGTTTCCTTCTCGATTTTCTTTTGTTTAAGGATGTTAAGCTTCTGATCTTTGGTGAGATTGCCCTCGATCATCTAGTTTATAGGGAACTGCTAAGTTGTACTATTGTTGATGGTGTGTATGATAGGAATATGCATTTACTAGGAACCTGAACTTCCAAATCCAGGATAGCCATTGGGATTATTGCCTAAGGTGGATTGAGCTATCACACTATCGAAATGAAAAATATTACTATCAGAAGTTGATTTTTTCATAGTTAATCTACTGCTTCCTGCTGTAATTTGCCTCCTCGACTGCTAAGAGGTATTTCCTAGTTTATTAAAAAACTTATGGTCTGTCAAGCCTGATTGAACCAAAATGCCCTGATGTGACTCTGGCCTGTCTGATGCTTTAGTTGAAAATGGCTGAAAGTTTCATTTTAAGAAATCGTAGTTTATAAGTGTTCGCTCGTTAGGGAGAGTTTAGTGATTCTTTGAAGTATTAGGAATATTAGCTTGATTCGGCATTTATATGCTGTTACCACTAGACAGAATTATTGATTTCGCGTTTCCCTTGAGAATAGATTACTGTTGTTAAATATTGTAAAAGTGACTTTTAGTATTGTTATTTCCATATTCAAGAATGTTACCTCCACTGCTGCTGCCACTCATGTATTGCTCGAAATTATTGCTCTGACCTAATTGATTCACATACGATTGATCTGACTAGGAAATATCTTTGCTGCGAGATCTTGAGGCATACTGATAGTAGGCTTGAGTAGAAGTATCTTCAGATATAGCTGTATTCATAATTAATTATGTTAGTGCTAAGCGAGTGAGTATATACGCTAAACTTTTTATTATTATCTCCAATTCATATTTATTTTCATTCTTATTTTTATTACAATCTCATGGGGTTTTGGGGTTTTGGGGTTTTGGGGTTTTGGGG